TGCTGCTTTAATGAAAGATCCCAAACTTGCTCTTTCTCTGTCTCTCCTTCCCAGTGCTCCCAGTTTTAAAAGTTGCCACTCACTATCATCCCCACCCTATACACGTCTTTGTGGAGTCACCTTGTCCAGTCTTTTCTAGGATGCTGAAGATCGGGTCATCAGGAGCAGCTCTGTCGAGGTCTTCCAGGATCTGGTCCACGGTCGGGGGCTCAGGACGGCTGGGCAGCACCATCCGCTTCTTACTTTTAGAGCCAATATTCATTCTCCTAAAGTTTGAACTCCAGCTGCTTGCATGCAACACAACCCTGACCCCGGGTAACAGAGTTTATTTAATGAGGTCCAAATCTGCTTCTCGTGTTCAACAGCAATTTTATCACCAAACTATTACTGTTTGTCTTTAAGCTCCATTTAGAAAAAAGTGGAGGATCTTTCGCAAAATAAAAAGCATTTTAAATATATTTCCAAACTGCTGCGTTCTTCTTCGTCAAGTCGGCTTAAAGCAAGTCATTCAAGAATTATCTAAATCATAAGAGTGTACTTTATGAACTTCATCCATTCCTTTCTCTTTATAGAGCCGAACACAGCAATGCTAGCGGCTAGCCTAATCACTGTAAAAACGATTTGCAGCTAAATGTAGAAAAAATAAATAAAACTGTAATTAACCGGTGGAATATTTTGAAGCCGAATTTTGGAAAAAATTCTGAAAATTGCTGAGAAGTATTTTTAACTACGACACATGCATTTATTTTAGCTGGATAGAGGTTCTACATTATTTCTGAATCTATGAAATAAGGATTCGGCTGCATTAGGCGTAGCTGATGCACAGCACTTACCAGAGTTTGTCCTGGCTGGTGAAACCTTGCAGTGCGTCTCGACAGTCGTTCCCCGTCTTCACTGTTCGTTAACCCGGACTAAGGAGCACAAAAAAACAAGCTAATTCTGCTGATAATACGGCTAACATTAGCAAACAAACTTAAATCTACGGCACGTCAGCACGCCGCCTGCCACGTCAGCACGTCGGACGCGTCACATGACAAGTCAGAAGATAAAAACTCTTCTTCTGAATTTTGATGCCGGATTCACCATAAATTGTATGTAAAATTAATTCTCTGTCACAAACATTTTCCAGCAAGTCATTAAAGCCATTGAAATTGTCCTTTTAAGAATGAATTTGAAAATAACGTAACAATACACGATTCAAACAGACTTGAACTGAAAAGAAGATCAGATCAAGAGTCAGAGCTTGAATAATAAAATCACTTCAGTTCAGGTGTAGCATTTCCCATTTGGCTTTGCTCACAGTTTGCTTTTAAAAAAATGCCGGTAACATGTATTCTCTTATGACTGGAACAGTACCTCCTGACATGCAACCTCCTAAATGAGGAATCCAACCATGATGGGATGGACATATTTTAGCTTCACTGGGAAGGAGTTCTCATGTTGTTCACCTTCATACATGTGCTATAATTATATATGAATATTAACCAAACCAGCAGTTGTTCAGTACATTTGCTGAAAAATGTCAGAAACTGTTTAAATTGTTGCACATTCATTTTCTTTTGATAGAAGACGAATCAGTAAATCTGCTAGTTTGCAAAGAGTTTTTATAGTTTTTCCTGCATGCTTGGTAGGAGCTGGTGAGGAGAGTTGTGTTAAAAAAAAACGATGATCTTACTGTCATCATTAGCAGGGATGGGCAAGATTTTCAGATATTTGTAAAGACTTTCATAGGAAACCCTGAATGTTTGTTTTTTATCTTAAAGTACTGTATGTAATTTGTCTTTGTTTCCAGGATGTAATGTACCAGAAGGTGGCAGTAATGCACATAGAAACAATATGTGGGCAATATTTCAAAAATAAAAACAGAAGGTGCAATAAACTAAAGCATGTGTGACACAGTGAGGTTAGATTTTACTGTACGAACAGGAGAAACATGCAAAGCCAAGTACAGAGCCAACTGCTGCTGTTACAAAGTCAAGTGTGCAACTACTTACATAACAAATGATAAAAAAAAAGGTCAAGTGCAAACTCCATCAGGTAAGCATGTCACAGTCTAACACAACAATGTGCAAACATGTGAACACATTGAAGAAGCAGTTTAGCTGAAGAGTGAAAATTGAATTATTCTGCACAGTTCTCATGTAAAGTGGATCTCGTTTCCAGCTCCATGACTCTGCTTAGCTCACAATAGCACAAAAGCATTCATTTATCTCATTCATCTCAAATAGGAACAGGTCTACTACTCTAGTACACCTGTTTACTGTGATTATACAGTATTATCCAGGAACACATGACGTATTTCTTTGCACCCAAAGAATGTGACTGACCTTCTGATTACTAGAGTACTGTCCATTTTTGCCTTGTTATGCTCATTTTAAATAACAGATCTCCCTGGCAACACAAAAATGTTGTCATTTATTCTATGAGAAGAATAAAGAAGCTACTCATCTAAAGTCAAACTAGTCAGAGGGCAGAGCGAGTCACGAAGAGAAATAATTGGAATCCTTGGGCACCAAAAAAAGCAGTGCGGCAAGCTTTGTGCTAAACAGTAGATCCTGCAAATAAGACAAAACAGAAATCATTTCTGCTGAAGCCAGTTCATTCAAGTATTTGGAAAAAATTTAAGTGCAGATGATGGAAAAAGTCTTTAGCTGCCCGGGTCTGAAAATAAATGATCACATCTGCAAAGACTTTGACAGACTGAGCTAAAGAGTCCAGCCAGCTAACAGTCCCATAGTTATGCTGCAAAAGTAGAATCCCCACAAACTTAGGTCAGACCAGCCTATAACAAAACCAACACTTAACTCATTCACTGCCAGCCATTGGCAGTGAATGAGTTAAACCCATTGACTCATTCACTGCAATTGACGGCTATAGACGTCAATTGCAGTGAATGAGTTAATTTTATTTCATAAAGAATCTTTAAATGTAAGGTGAACTTTTGACTTATTCTTATGAAGTGTGGATGTGAGCTTGATTTACTTTTAGATTCTGGGTCTTCTATCTGAATCAGGACAGTAGAAACAAGTAAAATCCAGGGCAACAATACAGCTTCTGTGAGTTATTTATAATCCAGATTCAGGAGGTTTACATAGAAAAGATTTAATAACTTAAAAAAAGAAGAAGAAAAGAAGAAAAGAATTGTTCCCAGAAATCTTGAAACAAAGAAGTAAAAAGATCTTTTCACAATGTCCTGCTGCACAACTACAACATGATTTTTTTAAAAAGGAAATCAGTCTCTTTGACAGAGGTAACAATCCTGTTGAAATCTGTCAGGATGATGAGGAAAAACCCTCTTTCCCTCCTTTTCTTCCTCACCAAGGCTCCTCCTCTTCCTCTGCTGCTATCTAAAGAACTGAATAAACAGCAAAGAAACACAGTCTCATTTATTATTTTACCGGTTTGTGATTTCCTGCTTCTTTTTTTAATTTGTCAAGTAAAATCCTACCATAATTATTACGTTAATAAGAAGCATAGACATAGAATGTATTTATTATGGCGTGTTTTCAACACACAAACTAAATCCTGTTACTTGGTTATTTAAAGTATGTTTGTTTGCTTCCTTTTCATGTTCATCTCCTTTAATAGTTAAAAAAACTGATTGAATTCAATTACAGGATGTATTTAATCCCCCACCTCCCCTCAAGCTAACTTTTTACTCTCCAGCTCAGTTGTAGAAACTGTTTGAACAGAACACAAATATCTGGATGTGAAGTTTGACTTTCAGAAAATATTTTAGAAAGAAAGTTATTTATCACCTCTGTATTACTTTGATTTGTTATTGTGAGTAACTTACCATCAGTCTACACTGAGTTCATCCTGATGAGCAGACATATAACAGACACAACCAAAGGTTAGAAACGAAAAACATTAAAATGGGAAGTGAAAAGTGAATTATTTGGGGGGGGGAGGGTTCCTAAAACAACCCCATGGATTAATTTGAATACTTAAATTAATCTCTGGATGTACAGTTGTGGTCAGAAGTTTACGCACACTCATCATGGGATGAATGTCATGGGTACTTGGTTTGGGACGTTTAATGTTTTTCACTAATCCACAGATGGTCAGAAGAATACAAACATGAACACAACTGAAACACAAATAAACTCTAACAATTCTGCCAAGAAGAGTGGTTAAATATCTGCTCAAAGCTTGCTGATGGATACCAGAAGTGTCTGGTCCAGGTGCAATAATGGACATTTAACCAAACATTAGTGGGGGTATGTGACTGTGTGGACTAGAGAAAATCCAAAATCAGTTCAAAGTGCATCCAGTTCTTGTTTTTTTTTTTTTAAACATGCAAGGTGTACAGTTATTCCACCGTGGGAAGAGGAACAATTCAAAGAAATCTTGAAAAGCCCAAAATACCATGAGATTCATGCAGACGATGCCAATGATGAGTGTGCGGAAAGTTTCTGCCACCATGGTATGTTGATACACATCCAACCCACATGTTCTGCTTTGGTGTAGGTAGTGTGGGAGGAGAGCTGCAGTAAGACTGTGATTCTGGACTTACTCACTTTCAGATAAAATAATAATAATAATAATAATAATAATCATTTAGATCTTCTAAACATATTTATCTCATACTGGGCCTTTAGTTCACCCTCTGGTCCTGATCTTTACTCTGACCCAATGTTGAAAACTACTAAGCAGATCATTTTCTAGTGCTTCTGTTTCTTCTGGACCACTAAGAGCTGCAGGTAAAGTTGAGGAGGGAATATTAGAAGGTCAGTTCAGGTCTTCACACCTAGGATAAAGTATCCTGTCTGTTTTAGCTTCAGACCATTAAAAGCACTGCTGGTCTACATGCTTCACACCACATTCACTGTCTGTACAGCACTTAACCAGCTGACTTACCAAACTGGTTAACCCAGGAAAGGCTGGAACAGGTAACAAGATAGCTGTATTAGCAACAGGTCAGAGTTTATTCCTCACCTCTTATATGAACACATAAACACTTGATGTAGATGAAGGACAGGTCTGTTCCAGCATCAAGTGTGAGTCCACTTTAGCCAAACACAAGCAACAAAATCATGACTGGAGTCCACTTAACAGCCACGGGTGTCATTAATAACCGTGGATTTCTGTAAGTTATGTGGACAAATCTAAACAATGCTTGAACTCCAAGTACTACATAAACAGCGTTAGTGGGATTCTATATTGAAGGGACTGCTGATCAGTTTTCCCAGCTGGGTTACTGACAGTAAAGAGAGATGCTACAAGGCTTTCTGAGTGAGAACACATCACTCAGCAGCTTGTAGAGAGGACATAAACCAGCAGACTGCAAGTTTCCTGAGCTGCTTTTACTGATATAATTCAAGGTGAACAGACTGAGTAAAGGGTGAAAACGTGTATTTTACATACTCTTCTTTCTTCGTTCATCTCTGATGGACCAACTTTAGCTGTGGATGTTTCTCCTGATGTACTTGGTAAACTTTTAGCTTCAGACTGAGCAACAGGTGGCGATGGTATGATCATGCCTTTATTCTTCACCAGAGTGGTCAGGACTAAGGAGGGAGAAGAGCGAGAGAGGAAGTACGTACATATTTAAATCTTCTGTAAAAGGCCCTAGCGGTGGTCCTGGGCCAGTTTTACCTTCTCTGGTGAGGTTCTCGGCAGCACTCATGGCCTTCCCACCGAGGTCGCTGACCATGTTGTCCACTGTGGCCTCATGGCGAAGGAAGACAGGCCGAACCACTTTGTTGTAGATAATCTGTGAGCCGTTCCAGGACATTGGTGCCATGCACCATAGTAAGAAGAGACACTGGAACCACATAAGAAGGAGATTACTGGAGTCACTGAAACCTTTTACCTGATCTCAATTCTAGTATGACGGTCATAGCCCTTCAAAAAAGGTAGTAGTGGATATAAATGCAATATTGTTTCTATATTTCGTCCTAAAAGAAGCATTTTGTTCTTTAGGGTATGCTCCAAAAAGGGGTCTAGCATGTATCATTGCTTGCTACATGTCATCTCACCTTAAAAGCGTAGTAAAATGGGAACCAGTAGAGGAAAATATCAGAGAAGAACTCGCCCAGACTGAAGACACCGTACACCACCCAGTAGGTCAACCATTTTGTGTCATCTTCTTTGCACGGGCTTTCGATGGCTTTGACTCTGCACAAAGTTGGAGTATTGTAAAAGAGCTGAGAAACATGTTGATCCTTCAAATATGATAAAGACTTCTGTGCCTCTGCACCAGTAACACGACTATTTGCTTTAGTCACTGAACCGTAGTACAGATATAAATATCATCAATTTTAACAGTGAAATCAGTCAAAATTTCAATGATGTCAAAATTATCCAGACAAAGTCATCTTTATCAGTTGTGCTTCTTCAAGGGCAAAACCAGAATACACACCAGACAACATCCTTAATGTCTGAACATCTCTAATAAAATTCTTTTTTGAAATGTCTCCAAATGTAGTAAAATGTCTTTATATAAATGCATAAAATGTCCAAATATCATTAAATATATACTGTGGAAAAGATCGATGTATGCCAAAAATGTCACAAAAAGATAATAATACCAAGAAAACTCAGTGTATTGTAGGCACAGTTGTTATACTGAGACTGCCACATGGATCCACTGAGTATGACAATGACTTCCTACCACGACGAGGAAAAGAAAAAAGAAAAAATTAAAAATAAAAACTTACGAATAATAAGCTGGATAAACAAAACCAATCAGGTTGCAGAGGAGGGAGGCACCATATCCGTACACCAGGTAGAGTCCGGTCAGCGAGACGGCACCTGGATGAAGACACAGATGTTTTGTTTTCTATGTACTGCTGCTACTTATTAATATAGTCTATTTCATTAGACTGCATTGCAGAAACAGCCAGTTTAGCACAGACTCGACCAATTTGGAACCAAAATCATGCAGAAGAAAGTGTTTCCTGCAAAAGACTTCTTACTGACCAGCAATGTAGACGTGGGCAAAAGAACAGGGCCATAGCATTACATAATTTGATTTCATATCCAATGAACATGTGTTTGGGCTATGAGAGGAAGCTGGAGTGTCCAGAGAGAACTCGTGTAAACACAGGTGAAACATGCTCCCCACAGAAAGGCACCAGACTGGATTCAAACTCAGGACTTCTTCTTGTTAAGAGGCAGCATTGTGATCTGTGGTTCCACCTAAATGTACATTTCCATATATTTCATAGCCTTCCATAACTTACAATGAAGAAAGGTGATGTCCATCATGAACAGGAAGTGAAACCTGTTTCGTTATCCATGTAAGACAGGAATAACAAGGTATATTCTCTGCACAGAGTGCAGAGCTCACAGGCCAACAGTGTGGACGATGCAGCCAAATATCAAAACAAATCTGAACAACAAGCAAAATTTCACTGATTGGCTGACAGCCAGACAGACAGGAAGTACTGTAAAAAAGTGTCCTACCTCTGATCAGCTTATGTTGCTGTTCACACATGGAGGCGGCGCTGCTCTGCTGCCTGTCTCTGTGGATAATCAGCTTTAACGTCAAGGCTCAGAGCGGGAGACAGCGAGCACCAGGCACCACGCTGACATCATGTCCTGCTTAATGTGCTCCAAATCCACTGCACCAGCATCAACGTGCTCTCAATACACTGCTGTTCCCTGCTCACTGGATCACTGTGTTCACACGGACCTGAGAGCCCTTTTAACACTACCAACAAAATACGCTGTTTGATCTGTATCTATTTTTAGAAAACAACAAAACTTTCTTGTAAAAATGTCGACATATTTATAAAACAATATAATGTGCAACAGCTTCAGAAATTCAGCAGGAAAGGCAGAAGTAGAGCAACGTGGTTGTTCTCTTCCCATTTTCTGTTAACACTGAACACACTGCTGTGATGTTTGAATAACCTTTACTGAACTGACTGTAGACAAATCAAGTATGGACACACTGAGGTTTTGCCTTTAAGATTTTATGGCAGAAACTTTTTTTATTTCGAGCCAAACAATGAACTCCTGAAGCCACAGAGGTTTTGTTTGTCAAAGCTGGATGGAAATATATCAATCAGCAGCGGTTTGGGAGGGAAAAGCCATTTTTATGGTGAATGGACTGGTTCTTATATAGCACTTTTCTACTCTATTTGAGCACTCAGAGTGCTTTACACAACTTATACATTCACACAAGCACTTTGTTCATAGCTGTTTCTAAGCACTTACTGTCTAACATTCACACACATTCATACTCCCATCCATGCATCGGAGAGCAACACGGGGTTAATATCTTGCCCAAGGATATTTGGCATGCAGACTGGAGCAGACTGGGATTGAAACACCTTCTAGTTAGTAGGTGACCTGCTCTACCACCTGAGCTCCAGTCACCCCATTTTTAGTTTGCTAATTTGGATGATTTGCCCTTTAGAAATGAAGATGAAGTAACATGGTGCAAACTAATTAAAATTCCTGAAACCAGAAACCCAACAAGACAATAAATCCCAAAATAATTAAATATGAAGAACAGTCTGAGAGTCTGTGTAACTCTTCCAAGGCCGGGAGTTTCAACCTTCCACCAAAGGAATTGGGTCCCAGGATCAAGAAGGATATTTGGATCTGTATTAGCTTGTGATGTCCACACAGGACTAAAAATAATTAATAGGCCTCCCTCTAAATGGCTAACATGTTGTGACCATGTTAGGGACCACATGGTCTAGGAAACAACTGACAGTAAAGATGTATAATAAAGTCAAAAGAAAGAGTCCTGTTAACAACCTCAGCTTCTGTTACCCTCTTGATACCCAAAAGATTACCAAGAATCTGTCGATGGGGAGAAGGTTAGGATTTGTTTTTGGGGGATTATTTGGTTTTTTTGGAGTTCTTTGTTGTTTAGCTTTGTTTTGCTAAATTGGTGAAAACATTTTAAAATCTATAAAATCTGACGTTGCAAATGAAGTCTTGTGTATTTTGCTGTAACAGAGTTTCTTTTAAAAGATTCTCCATTTGTTGCTGCAAACGTGTGAAACTGGATGAGCTGCCAGTGTGGGTACGATTATTCTTTCGATTGTTTCTAAGCAGTTATAATTCTCTTATATCACCTGTCATTGTTTAAAGTGCCCTTTATGCTTATGAAATAATGTATCATTATAAACAATGACTGGCTTTGATCATTAGCCAGTTATCGTGGTACCTCAAACATCTGGTGTCCTATCAGAATTTGTTTGAGGTTTTTTGTCTAAACCAAACTGTGACAGAGAATTTAATTAAAGGTATTAAAATACAGCTTTAGTTCCACACAAGATACTAGTCCCAGTTTCAGTTTTTCCAATTTCATTGTACTATTGAGCCACGTATGACTGTGCAATAACAATAAAGAGTTATCTTGTCTTCCCCAAGAGAGAGAGTTATTCAAGGTTACAGCTGCAGAAAGCTTTGAGACTCCCGCAGGTTTCACTGAACCACATTAGTGTTTGTAGATATTTACCCATTCAGAGTGAAGGACTCCTGGTATGAAGCCTACACAGATATTTTATGGCTGGTCTTCTGTGCAGCAGGCAAAACGTTACACGTAAGCTCTGCGTAGGACCAGCATCAAACTGGAGTAAAACCAGTCCTTTAAAGCTGCTAACATAGTTGATCCAGGAACTAAAACATAAGATATAAGGAGACTTCTGCCCATCACTGCTTAGTCAGAGAAAGTACTAAACAGAAGACTTTCAGCTTTCAGCTCAGGGTGATACATGTCCTATCAAGGAACTGGACACAATGAAGCAGGCACTGCCACAAAACCAGGAGCTTAATGATGCTAAAACCCCGAGGGCCGCAGAGCCAGTTTATCTGAGTTCAGTATGACAAAATATTTATCAGTGCAGAGGATTAACTGCAGAATAAACGAAGCAGAAAACCTCCTGAACATTCCCTGCTTCCTGTTGTGGACGGTAGCTGATCACAGGAGGATTAACTGAATCCTCTTCAGGTTTCCACTGGCCTGCAACAAGCTTTATACAAATCAACTACATCTAGAACGAGAGCAGAATGATCCAAAAGTAGCCATGTGCTACTACACAAAGCAGCAAGTTGGGAAAAAATAATTCTAGAAGATTAAATCATACGTACCAAGAGCAATGACCTTCTTCTTGATCCCAGTTTTCTCCTCCATTTTCCCCAGAATATCCGTCACCACATTTTTCTCATTTAGAAACTTTTCAGCTCGGTCTTTGATAGAGCTGATAATATTCAGCAGGCCCATTGTCCTCAATCTGGTCCTCAGACAGCAGAGAAGTCGGAGGACAACAGCCTGCGGTGAGTCCGGGGCCAAGTTTAATCCTCTGACAACCACAATCTGCTATAATGAGGAGGAGGAGCACGCAAGGAGGTGTTGAGAAGTTCTTTTTATAAATATTTTCATTTATTAAAGACAGAGTAAAAAGTGAAGAAGCTATATACAGGATTATCAGCTAGGCTTTACACAGCTACACAACACTTTAGTGCAGTTTAGAACAATTCAAAATACTTCAGAGAGGAGTGACAAAAGTCTATTGTAAAAAGAATAAAGCCCAAAGCACACATAACAACTATTTAAGTGTAATAAAAAGCATAATAAACATGATAACATAATAATAAACATGGGTTTCTGTATATATGATCCATGACAAAGGTTTGAAGGGAATTTAATACTCTTACCTGATGGTTTTCAAGAAAACTAACTAACCTTTCCTGGTAAAAATGTGGCATTATTCCTTTATGCATGTCAGTTTTCCATATATCAAAAATAAAAACAAATGAAATAGTTACCTGATTTAAAATTGACTCTTCTCACTTTGAGGGACATTTTGTTCTTGCATATTTGGAGCACCTCCATTTCTATTCCTTTAAAAAAATGCAGTTCTAAAAAAGTTTGAAAGTGACTGTCATGTGAAAATGGCCAGCTTTATATCAATAATAATAATAAAGAAGAATGAAACAAAGAAAAAGGATGCTTCACCAGTTGGAGGCATCACTTCCTGAAAAATGAGCGAGGCTACTGGATAAAATTCTTTACTTTCTCTCTTTTGGGGGGATTTTTTTTTTTTTGTCAAGTGACCTATATTTGATAACAGCATAATAAAAGGAGAAATTCTATTTTTTGCGTGCCACCCTGATATTTTTAGTGGTCCCCATATGGCCACCCCTATGAAAGAATTCTGGAGGCGCCCCTGTCAGGTACAAATTTTAGTGTCCGTAAAGATGCGTAAGAACGACGGAAATTTAAGCTTCCTTCAGAATGACCCAGGACAAAGAGTACATACAAGTTGTGTTTTGTGTTAAAACCCTCAGTGTATTGTTTTTTTTATTATTTTTTTTTCTATTATTTCACAGTTGTGTGTTCCGCCAGACTTGTTCAATTTAATATAAATAATTAATTAAAAACATAATAATAATGCAGTGGCAGTGAGTAAGGTCGCTAAAAATATTACGACCCCTCAACTGCATCCTCGCATGATGACATCATTCTGCGACTAGCTTATGAACGAACTGAGTGAGTGTTCCTCAAAGAAGCTAAGCAACGTAAATTCTCTTTTTTAGGACTGATTCGCATCTGAAACTCGGAGACGACAGGTAGGAGAAACGCTTAGCTGTATTGTCAGCCTCGCTTTGGCAGCGTGGAAGGTTTATTTATAAAGCAGCGCCTATGTACTCAAAGGAATATGATCAGCTAGCCACCCGTTAGCATCGTGCCGCTATGGTTTGACGAACACGTCACGCTCCTTTCAAATCTCTTGCAGTACATCGTGGTCTTTCTTCTAGAATCTAGAGCGACCCTCAGGTGTAATAGAGGAAAACTTAAAGACATATCTTTAACTCTCGAAATCATCTGTCAAATCCGGCCTGGTTGCATACAGAAAGTAACACGGGTTGACTAAATACAAGCATTTTAGCATCAGCTTCGTCTTTTTGTTGACACATTCTTTCCATTTCGAGTCATGCTCAGTCTGAAGATAAACCAGCTGCTTGTTAACTTCAAAGGAGATAAATTCGTGTCCGACGAGTCAGTTGTAGTCTTAAGTTTTCCGGGTTTCACCAATACAGCATAACCACCTAATCCAGTACCGATTATAGTAATAGCGTTAGACTGCGAGATTTGTCATAGCAGTTCCAGGACGTAAACGTATACCCTCAAGAGCCAAATAAACCGTAGATGTGTGCTGATTTGTAGTTGTCCTAACTGGTATGCTAGCACGCCAAGCTAGAAATTAGCCAGAGATCTTGAGTCACTGTGTCTGCGGTGACTCCTCATAAACTTCACTGATTTGAGCAGTTTAAAACACGACAGACAGATCTCCTTTATCAGCCCGCATCAGCTGTTCTGTTTGTGTAATGGTTTTATGTTCAGAGGTGGTTAACGTTAGCTTTGCTCACACAGTGTTGGAGTTGCTAGAACATTCTCCATGCTAACACCAAAGGGGGTGGCTAAACATATGGTGTGGTGGAAAGAAGGTACTTCCATGTCCCTGACGAGCATTAATCACTGTTGATACAAGGTGTTTATGTATCATTAATAGCATTATCTGGCAGAATACCCAGACAACTAAACTTTACGCCCCCCTCAAAACAGCAATATAGCAGAGGCTGAAACAAAGAAGTTTGTGCAATGACAATAAAGGCATTCCTTCATGCTGCAGAGATCAAATTCAAAATAAGCAGGTGTGATCAAAGTACATCAAAGTTAGTACTCAATCCTGGTTGATACCAAAGAAAGTAATAAATATAACAAAATGTATGCATGCATATAAATACATGCTGCATGTCTACATATAGAGAGTGATGTGATTTAAAAAAAAATCAAACACGTCTGCAATATCTGACAGCTAATGAGGTTAGTTACTGACCTAATGAGGTGTAAAAAGGGCATTACTGATGCTGAGTATTTCAGAATTAAAGATGGGGTCTGCAGTTTGTGAGATAGAAAGAGTTAGAGAGCTAGCAGAAATGTCATGAGGGCAAAAGGCTGGAAACCTTTTCCTGTGACTCTTAGGCCTGCAGGCAGCACAGTTTTGAAAACAGGCTGTTTTTTATAGTGTAAATGCGCCGGCACGGCAACATTTCTGGTTTGGTCCGTGCCGTGTAAGGTGTTTAACATAAATTCCTATAGTCAACTAAAGTTAGCCACACTCGTAA